TTTATGACTGAGCTACAGAGCTTATCCCATTTCCTCCCCAAACAGGGCCCTACCATTGTCTTTCCCATCTTAGTTAATGCCAACTCTTTCTCCCAGTTTTTTAGGCCCAACACTTCCGGTCAAACTTGTTTCCACTCTCCCATAGCCATATCCAATCCATTAGCAAATCCTGTCAACTCGATGACACAGTATATCCAGATTCTTTCTACACCCCCAGGCAATACCTAGTTCAAACAACCAACATCTTGCACCTGGATTACTGTTAAGGCTCCCTACACAATTGTCAGAGACAGAATTTCAGGTGGAATACTCAAAATATAAATTCTTATATTTGAAATGAAAAAGCCACCCCAAATCCCAAAGCTTTAAAGTCAAAATCCATTCCCTCGCAGAACAGATGGATGCCTGAAGAAGAACACTCCATATCTGTTGATCAAGAAGCACCTCTCTTCTACCAAGTAAAAAAAGGCTAAAATTTAAGAGCTAATGGTAGCAATTATCAACTTTAGGAAAAAATTATTTTGTTACAAATGGACTCTTGATTTTCAACAAAGGTGCCAACACAATTCAATGAGGAAAAGATTAGTCTTTGCAACAAATGGTGCTGAGGCAAGTGGATATCCATATGCAAAAGGATGAATTTGGACACCTTTTCTGATGTACTCTAAAATTAATTCAAAATGAATCGAAGGCCTATATGTGAGCACTAAAAGTATAAAACTCTAAGTAGAAAACATAGGAGCTAATCTTTGTGACCTTGGATTAGGCAACAATTTCTTAGAGATGATGTCAAAAGCACACATGGGATTAAAAAAAATCAATAAGCTGGACTTGATCAAAATTTAAAACTTTTGTTCTTCAAATGACACCATCAAGAAAGTGAAAAGATAACTCACAGACTGGTTGAAATTATATGCAAATCCCACATCTGATTAACTTGTTCCTAGAATAAAGAACTCTTACTACTCAATGACAGGATAGCATCAACCTAATTAAAAAATGGGCAAAGAATTCAAACACACATTTCTCCAAAAGAGATATATGAATACTAATAAGCAAAAGAGAAGACGCTCCAACATCATTAATAATCATGGAAATGCAAATCAAACTACAATGAAAGACTACCTCGCATCCACTCGGATGGGTATAATAAAAAAGACAGACAATAACAAGTGTTGGTGAGGATGTGGAGAAATTGGAACTTTCGTATACTGCTTTCTCACAATCATTAGTGGGAATATAAAATGGTGCAGTCATTTTGGAAAAGAATTTGGCAGTTTCTCAAAATGTTAAACATAAGAGTTACCATATGACCCAGCAATTCTACACAAGGGCATCTACCCAAGGGAAAATAAAATATATGCCCATACAAAACTTGTACATGAATGTTCATAGCAGCAGTATCATTATAGCCAAAAAGTGGAAACAACCTAAATATCCATCAACTGATGAATAAATAAAATGTGGTATACCCACACTATGGACTATTATCTGGCAATAAAAAGGAATGAAGTATCAATACATTCTACAACATGGATGAACACTGAAAACATTACGGTAAGAGAAAGACACCAGATACAATAATCCACATATTGTATGGCTTAATTTACATAACATATTCAGAATAGGGAAATCTATAGAGACAAGAGTGTAGACAAGTGGTTTTCTAGGGCTGGGGTGGAGGAAGGGTGGGGAGTGAATGCTAACAGCCACAGATTTCTTTTTAGGGTGATGAAAATGTTCTAAAATAAGGTTGTGGGGATAGCTGCACAACTCTAAATATAATCAAAACCACTGAATCTACTTAAAATGGGTAAAATTTATGGTATATTACATATCTCAATAAAGCTGTTTTTTTAAAAATTGGATCCTGAGGCTAACAAGATTATCCATATGTCCAGTGAAAACTATTACAAGATCAGAGAGAGCTTTCATGAAAGAGAAGTAGGTCTCTATGATTCATTAAACAAATACTTACTGAGTTCTACTATGTACCAGGGTACCTGTAAACCAGCTGAGGTGATGCCTGGGCCTAAGTTAATTTTAAAAGGGCTGTACTGTGCCAAAGGGCAAATATATAGGCTTGACCATGGCACCAAGTCACTGTTCAATTGCCTTCAAGGGGAATTCAAGCACGATCCTAGGCCATTCAGGCTAGATAGGTGAGGGATCACTACATTTTACTTGGAATTTAAGTGGCTGAATATCTCACGACAATGAAATAAATATCTTCTTTGTAAATCAGCCACTCATTCATCTGACAAATAATTATTAAGGGCTTACAATGAATAGAGACCCTGAACTATCTAATTAAAGGTCATAATTTACTTATATTTTCAACTGAGCCAGAGAGAGAGAGAGAGCAGTCTTTATGGATACTGAATTGCTATTGGTAGGAAATAGATGCTTACTGAGTAAAAGAAAAAGCAGTAAGCTGGTGCAGCTATTTGGGTTTCGTAAACTCTGTGTGTTGTGCAGGACTGTTTTTAACCAGCCAGGCAGGGGATTATTAAGTGGGAACAGGTAGTTCCTCAACTAAGAACATCCTTTCTAGGAGTTGGTATTTGAAGAAGGAAATGCAAAGATATGTGTAGGACAGATTAAAACTAGGGCATCTGCGGTCTGCGTGTCATTTCTACAAGGAGCTTCGCGTCCTCTAGTTGAGCACAAGGAACTGGTTTATTTGAAGAACAGAGTGTGGATGTTGGTGCATATCAAAAGAGAGCTGTCGCAGTTCTTCAGAACATCTAGAGGTAGAATTTTATTTTCTAAAAATCAGTACCTCAAAAATTAAGGAGAAAAATGCAGAGATGGAAAATAGGAGAGAAGAAGAAATTGAGAAGATCAATTCAGGATGCTTAGGACCCACCAAGTGCTAAGCATACACATGGAACAAAAAGTCACATAAAAAGGATCAGAATGATACAGAACTTTAAAGAAAACAAGCAATGTCTACAAATTATGAAAAAACGTAATTTTCAACTCAAAATTCTATGCCCAGTAAGGCTACCAATCAATAATGAGAGAATAAAGATACTTTCAAATATATAAGGACTCAAAAAACTTTCCTCCTTTCTTAGAAAAGGCGTTGAAAGATGAGCTCTAGCAAAATGAGAGTAAACCAAGAAACAGACATGAACGAGAAGGCAAAACAAAGGAAAGCAGTAAAGGGAAGTCCTAAAACAACAGCTGTTTCCACCACAGACCTAGTGCAGGACAGAAAGCTCCAGAAGGGAGGTCTGCACACACAAAGAAAAAACCAAATGAAACTTATCCATCATCTATTACATAAAACTGACCATTGTATAACATATCCAACGAAGAATAGGAACACAGAGAACAAAGCAAAAGAAAAGAAAAATGAGGATTAATAAATCTAATAAAGAGATCACATGAAAAAGGAAACCTAATCATAGTGTTATTCTTGGGTGTGCAATGAAAAATATTTACATAGTCATAAGTAATGTAAACACTGACTAGTGATTTAACTAAAGTTGTAATAAAACTATGTTATAATATTAGGAGGACAGAGTCAAGAGAAGGTGTAGGGGTGATGATGGGGGGTGTGTATACAAAGAAATGGTGAATATAAGATAACGATCTTCATCTACCTTAAAAAGAAGTTAGTGGGAACTATGTATGAAAGTGATAAGAAACAGCAGTATGAACATATTCATTGAAAATATGAAATACAGAAAAAATAGCTCAAGGAGCTTACAAGTGGTTGCCTCTAGGAAGGGGATGTGAAGGGGAGAGGCAGAGAACACAGTTTTTTGTTAGAAGCTTTTCAGTGTCATTTGATTTTTAACTGATGTCTCCCAGCGTGGGCTTCTGTTTTTCATGCCCTTCACTAATTGGATCCATAAGCAGAGATTTGTCATGCCATTCTCCTAGGCAGTGTGTCAATTCACAGGAACCGAGTCACACAAAACAGTGTTGAAACCTACTCAAAACCCTCCTTAACCTTTATGACAATCCTGATAATTATCATCTTCATTTTGTAGATGAAGAAACGATGGTGAGCAAGATGAAGTAATACATATACAGATTAATGTGGTTTAATAAAGAGTACATTTGGTCTCTGCCCCAAGTTCCTGGCATACAGCTTCAAAAATCTGTGTCATTTCCTGAATAATAGGAGTCTTTGTTATGCTAATGAGGCGACTCTGGGTTGGCCCCAAGATAACTTCAGGAAGGGGATGGTTACCAGAAAGAGGAACCCTGTGATTAGAGGGTTGGAACTTAGTCCCAGACCTCTGGGGAGGGAAGGGGAGGCTGAAGATTGAGTTCAATCAATCATGGCTACATAATTTAGTCATGGCAGGCTAAATAGAATCCACACCCCTATAGTGGCTAAAAGGCCCCTTGATTCTCTCCATCAGGTCCCTCCCAGTCATTCTGCATCTACTGGCCTTTTTGACAGTTCTCCAGCATGCCAAACCCGGCTCACTTTGGGGCCTTGACATTTATCGTTTGCTCTCTACCTGGAATGCTCTTCTCCCAGATTTCTGTATGGCTGAATCCTTCACACCATTTGGGTTCAAGGCATAATCACAAGTCACTTCTGAGGAAGGCTCCCTGGATCATGATATCTAACTAAATTAGCATTCCTCTCCCCAACCAGTCATTCTCTATCCGCTTACCCTGTTTTATTTTATTTGTTTGTCTATTATTTACCCCTGTTTCCCAGCTCCAAATCAGAAAATATGCATGCAAAGAATTTTTCTGAGTAAACTTTTGAATTGCTAGCCTTTGAATTCCCAAAGCTCAGTCGGACCAGGCATATAGTAAAAACTCAATAAATACCTGATGAATGAAAGTAAATCTCCTGAGAGGTTAAAAAAAATTATACTGATAAGACTGATCTACAACACCAAACCGTAAGGTGCATGTGCAACTTGCACAATACAACAGAGAAGGTGATAAAAGAAAAATATGTGATGCAAGACGGATACAGGTATGAAGGATCGAAGATACCCCCAATTTGTTTACATTCCTACTTCCTCTTCTTCTGAAGCTGGCCTTCCTGTCACTGCCCTGACCAACCGAGTTTGCCTGTCCAGGGCCTTTCCTTTAGGCAGAATGGTATCTTCCACACTGGTCTCCTGGGACCCGGCTGTCATATAAGAAGTGCGAGCATTCGGAGAACCATGCCAAGGGAAGCCACATGGAGAGGCCTTGGAAGATGACCACCAGTACGGGAGAGAGCAAATCCAAGGAGCACCAAGCCACCTTACATGTGAGTAAAGAAGCCCCCTTGGAAGGGGGTCCTCTGGCCCAGCCACTCCAGCTGGTGGCATGTGGATCAGAGATGAAACACCTGGACACGTGCTTCCTGGATTCCTGACCTACGAAACAGCAAGCAAAGTAAAAATGGCGATTTTCAGCCACTAAGTATTGCAGGAGTTTGTCCGGCAGCAATAGCTGACCGGAACATCAGGCGAGAAGGGATTTCTTAAAGCCAAGCAGAAAGTAAGCTATAGACAAGCTAACCAGAATGTCACAGGACAGGGTACAATGGAGCAGAATGGCCAAATAAGCATGAAGACAAACAAAAAAGACCTAGAGCATTTATTTTTAAATGTAGGTAAGGCCATCAATGCAAGGAGACTTGTTATGGGGGAAAACGGATGGGTGAGGTGCAGTGGATGGCAAGAAGCGCTGAAGGACACTGGAAGGACGAAACGCAGACACCATGTGATGACTCATGGGTCACGCTTAGCACTGCTTCAACTCAACATAGGCGACGACGTTCACTTCTGGGTTTTACATCTAAGGAAAAGCTGGAGTATCAGACAGAAGGACCTACTATTTTCTGATCTACAGAGATTCAACTAAAACAGTGTTTACAGTTTACAAATGTGTTTACAGTAAACAGATGTGACCAGTGCTGAGTGCAGGGAAAGACAGAATGGGTTACTCTGGACAGCAGACCAAAGGCTGTCTTCTTGAAATCTATTAGAAAAGATCTGCATCTGCTTAGGAAAGGTAGGGCATGATTCTGTCGAAACTGGAGATTTCCAAGGTTTCTTCTAGGAAGGATGTGACTTTATGACCTAATGACTGCTCCTACTGCCATTACAAGTGCATGTCACAATGATAATAATTACTAAAGAGTTGTTTGCCACACACTGTGAGAGCCAACATCACTTAATCTTATGACAATCCTCATAATTAAGTATTATCTTCATTTTGTAGATGAAGAAACAATGGTGAACAAGATGAAGTAATATATACACAAGGTTAACGTGGTATAATAAAGAGTACATTTGGTCTTTGCCCCAGGTTCCTGGCATACAGCTTCAAAAATCCGTGGAATTTCCTGAGTAACAGGAGTCTGTTATGCTAATGAGGTGACTCAGGGTTGACCCCAAGATAACTTCAGGAAGGGGATGGTTACCAGAAAGAGGAACCCTGTGATTAGAGGGTTGGAACTTAGACCCAGACCTCTGGGGAGGGAAGGGGAGGCTGAAGATTGAGTTCAATCACTCAGCCAATGATTCAATCAATCATGGCTCCATAATGAAACCCCAATAAAAACTCTGGACATCAAAGCTCAAGGGAACTTCCTGGCTGATAAACACACTGATGTGCCAGGAGGGTGACATGCCCTTACTCCCTGGGGAAAGGGCACGGAAACTCTGCACTCCCTCCAAGATATACCCGTATGTGTATCCTTTATAATAAACTGTAATTGCAAGTATCATGCTTTCCTGCCTTCTATTACTTGTTCTAGTGAATTACTGAACTTGAGGTCATGGGAATCCCCAAATTAGTAGCAGGCTGGTCAGAACTGCCGGTGTCTTGGAGAAACCACTTAAGGCTGGCATCTGAAGCGGGGGCAGTCTTGAAGAGGACCGACCCCCTAACTTGCAGGATCTGACACTAACTCCAGGTGGTTGGTGTCAGAACTCAATTATAATCTACTCAGTTGGTGTTAGGCCAGTTGGGGTTGAAACAGAAGACCTACTAAGATATGAAGTGCTATAGCCAGGACTCAAACCCTATTCTGTCTGATTCCAAAGGTAATATTTCATTATTACCACAGTCAAAGTATAAACCCTAACAACTTTCAATTTTTCATTTTCAAATAAAATGGTATACAATTCCTGAAGGTTTTAGTTTCCATAACAACTTACAAGAAATGAAAAATTACATCAGCTTGACAACTGATAAATCCATTTAAGGAATTAAATTACCATATCCTTGATAACAGATATAGTTAACACAAATACCAATGCATGAGTGGCTATGATTGAGTGGCTCAGGGGGATGGCAAAGTATTAAACAATATAAAGAGAGAGAATTTAGGGCCCAAAGTAAAAACCACCTTTGGAAACTTTTGAAGTTTTGAACCTTTTCCTAAATCCACTAGAGTGCTTAGGCTTATAAACAATTTTAAATAATAGTTACGTATAGGGAACATGGTTCCAGTATAAAACCTTAAAAACCTTTAACTTTCAGACACAGTGAAGAGTCTCATTCTTATTTCCTGTATGCTTGAGAAAAATCTTAGGACATCAATTCTGATTAATACATTTGTGTATCAAAAGTGTATGTTACAAGTGTTCTCTGCCAACAGGACAATGATCTGAGTACCAACACAGGAAAAATAAAAAAATCTCATGGAATCCCGGTACAATACTATGTTTTTTACTATAGCTTACATAAAAGCTTTCTAAGGTTTTATTTGAACTTATAAGCCAAAAAGGGATTTCCCAAACTTAATCTTCCTTTACCATGATGTAGGTCAATTAGATTGGTTTTGAATGCTGCAAGTTTTTAGACTCATTTGCTTCAAATTCTTCTTCCTTACCTGGCCTGTTAGTGGCTGCCATAATAAAAACCTGCTGACGTGTTTCTAGACCATCCATCTCTGTAAGTAGCTGATTCACCACCCGGACACTTGCCCCTGTCTAAAAAGAAATAAACACAGCTCCATTAGCCCCCAGTAAAAAGACAAATACATCACCAATTTTTTTTTTTTGCCATACAAAATAATACATTTGCTAATTTGAACAAAAGGTTTTAAGAGATAACAATGATCGTTTCCTGAATAATTACTACTATATACCCAAGCACTGTGAAAAACATGTTCTCATCCCCATGTTTCCCCACAATCCTGTTATTACCCACAGTTTAGATAAGGAAACTGAGTCTGAGAGGGGTTATTTGTCCATAGTTTCACAGCCAGACAAGGGCAGAGATGAAACTCAAACTCAGACCTAGCCGATCCCAAAATCTTATGACTCTGAGTTATTCAAAGAGCTATCAGCCACACTGATTTCCCTTTGGGCCAACCCAGATTCAGCTTTTGAATGTCTGAGCCGATTCCCCAGGATATTAGATGTTCGAGATCTTTCACCTAGAACTCTGACGCTTTTTCTCTTTTCCTTGAAGCACAGAGTACAAAGTACAGCTACCTCAGGGCAATAAGACAAAGTTCATAGGATTGGTAAATAGAGGCATAAATCACTTAGATACAGACATTTGAAAAATGCACAATGGAGGAAATTAAAAGAGGTGCTGTGTTTTGTTGTTTTTTTTTTGTCATTAACTGACTTTCTTCAATATACATTTTAGGTACAGAGGTGGTAATGACTTTAACCCACTGATCTCTCCAGAAAAAAATTTGGTACACCTTATTATCACTCTTAGAGCGATAACACTAACAGAGGCAAAATAGAATTATAATCTAGACTCAAAAAAATAAAGAGGGCTGGCCGAGTGGCGCGATGGTTAAGAGCTGGCTTGGGATGCCAGAGGGCCCCGGTTCGGATCCCACATATGACGGCCAGTGACACTGCCCTCCACAGCTAAGATGCTGAACAACAGCTCAACCTGGAGCTGGGCTGCTGTGAGTCGTGGCAATGGCGTAGGCTGCAACCCCTGTGGCAGTGGGTTGCCATGGGCTACTGTGTGTAGCCAGCAGCCAGCGTGAGCGGCCAGCAGCCGCAATGAGCGGCCGTCCAGAAGCCGGCGACTGATATGCCTGCCCGGGAAGAGCGCAATGATGGTGCCAACTTGGGCCAGTGAAGCAACGTCCTCCACAACTAGACTGAAGAACAAAATGACAGCAACTTGTCTGTTCCTCTTCCCCCAATTCCCCAGCACTTCCCATCCCCCCAGCTCCCCAATTAAAAAAAAAATCTTTAAAAAAAAATAAAATAAAAAATAAAGAATTACTGGGTAAAAACAGAAACAAAACATTGTCATACCTAAGCAAGACAAAAACCTCAGGTTCAATACAGGAAAGGCTGACAGATTTTACTGCATTAAAGTTATAACATTGTGTATAATTTAAAAAATTAAAGATAAGTGATAAAACAGGGAAAAATAGTTAGTACCAACACATATAACTGGACAATGGACTAAGTTCCATCACACATAAAGTTCCTATAAAACAATAAAAAAAATTTCAATAGCAAAAGGGTCAAAGTATATGATCAGGCAAATTATAGAAGATGAAATACAAACTCACTGAAGATGATCACCTTCACTGATCATCAGGGACATGAATACTAAAATTTAATATATTTTGCCAACAGAGTTGACAAAAATTGAAAGATGGGTATTATCCACTGTTGACAAAGGTGTAGGAAACAGTTATTTTTACATACTGTTGGTGGGGGTATGTAACTAATTTAGTGAGGGATGATTCAGTATTAGCTTTCAAAATATAATATGAATACATCTTCTACCCTGAAATTCTACTTCTAAAATTCTCACATACTCCCAACATGTGCACAAAAATATGTGATAAGAATGTTTACTACAGTTCTGTTTGTAAAAGAAACAATTGGAAACAATGTAAATGTCCAAAACAGGAGAATTATTAAATAAATTCTTCTATATCCAGACTGTGGAATATTTATGCAATAGTTAAAAAAATAAAGTAATTAAGTATATGGGAAAATCATCAAGATAGAATAACCACATTCATACAACAAAGAAGTCTAAAAAATACATGTTTTTAAGTTTATGGAAAAAAGTTCTAGAATGACAAGAACCAAACACTAAACTGTCATCAGAAGTAACCCCTCCAAGAAGAATGAGTGAGAGAATGGGAAAAAAAGACTTTCTCTCTCCTTGTGTTGCATTTATTTGAATTTTTCACAAGTATGCTTTCATGTGTAACCTGTATAATAAAATAAGAATATATTCTAATTTAAAATACTTTCAGAATCCCATTCAGGTGAAAATGTTAAAAAGCAAAACACATATACTGGAATACAGAAGTGTGTGGTAGTAGGTATCCCAGAGAATGATGACCTAGAAGTTAGGCATGAACTTCATACGGCTAACAGACTTCTCATGGGGACTGGATATGCCTCAATGAACCCTTCCGAACTTCAAACTAACAGAGCTGCAAACCAATGAAAGGAACTGCCGATAAATGAAGGGTTTATTTGTAGTGAAAGAGTAAAATCAGAGCGTACCATGCCCCATTCGGCTGGATAGGAAGTACAGTGGTTTGCCCTGGAGTCCACACTAGGTTTGGGGATGTGATAGCTGGCAGGGGAACAGGAAGGCCCTGCCCTGGCCACTGACATCACTATCAAGAGACAAGACCACACTAAGACCGCACTAAGGATATTCTGTGATGATACTGCTGACAACAAGGTGAGGAAACAAAACTGCTATGATGGGAATCACACATTAGTCGGGTTTTGTTTTTGCAACTTTTGAATGTTTTTGGAGATTTTAAGCTAAACGAGAGACTGAATAAATGTTTCGCTACCTAAGAAGACATACATAGAATAATTATTTGAAAATAAATCACAAAGGAAATATAGTCACTTCCTTAGTCATCTTGTAGTAAATGTACTTATTCAATAGGCTTGCTATCTGCTTCAAACAGGTTACATATTCTTTATATTGTGCTCGCTAGGCTTCCAACTCTTCATTACACAGCAACAGTCCTGATACTGGCTGGTTTCCGGGCACTCACTGCACTGAAATTTCTAAGAACTGTGACTCAGTGCAGTAACACGAGAGGTATTCAAGGCAGACCATCATTGTATCGTCCCCAGAGTGTAACGGTGCTGAGGCAATGTACATTACGCAACCCCACTGGGAGTGCATGAAGTCTTAAATTATATTTGCTCCTGTCTCAAGAACCCATTTAACTGAAGAGAATCATAACAAGGCAGGTTATTCAAAACCAATATCCTTTCCATTCCCAGCTACTCATCTGTGCAAGTTAGATAGGTGCAATCAAAATAATACAGAAAAAAAAAAAGATATGAACATAGAGGCTAATATTAATAAAACTACAACTGTTCTCTTGACCCTGATTTCAAATGACTAGGTTTCTTCACATAAAGAGTCTCAGTGTTCTCCAGGAATGACATTATAAGAACTACTGGACTTTTAAATGAACTGTATGAGAACTTACTTTATAAGAAATTACAAAAGATCTGTGGTGCTTACAAAACTCTGTAAATCCCTAATCTCTGATACCTACCTCTCGGTCTGATCTTCGAGGGCATAAAGCATCCACTTCATCGAAGAAGATGACACAGGGCGCTGAGTTCTTGGCTCGCTGAAAAACCTGTCGCACAGCACGCTCGCTTTCACCAACGTACTAAACATACACAGACAGGAAATAGAATGTAGAGATAGTTCAACTTGGGGGTTTGGGACAAATTATAGAAAACTAATAGTTTGAAGTGGCATTGGTATGTCAGAGTCCAAAAATTATTAGGTTGAACCATTTGCAATTGCTGGTATATAACCATCTTGACCTATAAAAACAGCCAGTTGTGTGTGGTTCAACTTAATAAAATTAGCTACTATTTCGGCTTATGAATTTTCTCATTCAAAAAATGAAGATTAGATGGAATGTAAGGTCTCCTTTAGGTAAAAAAAAAAAATCCCACAATTCGGTTCTATTTGAGAAGCAATCTCCTAAACTCTATGCATATGAAATACCCAACAGTAATTTTCATTAATTCAATAGTATTTTAAACGCAAACGAGACAATTCACTGTTTTACTGTCATTTCTACACAAGCCATCTTGCTAAAGGGAGAATTATTCTGTCCTATGGCATCAGAAGACGCAACCTGAGCCAGCTGAGTCTAGCAGCTTCCATATGGCATAATGTATGTTAAAATCTAAATCCAACTATTAAAACATTAAGATCAGCCAAGAAATACAGCAATTCACAAGCAACTATAACTATTAGGACTAATTAATATAAAAAGTTATATGTATGAATATGGTTTCACTTTTAGCCAGGCTTAAACTGCTCTTGCAAAATTTCAAACTAGATAACTAAGAAAAGCAGATGTGTTGTGATAAAACTGCTAAATAACACTGAATCGTAAAACATCTTTACAGTGCCAACAATATTATAAGATATCTTTTATCTTATTTTATGATTATATGGCCATAATAAAGTAATTAAGGCACAGAATATATCAGAGATGACAGTGATTATTTTTATTTTCTCAATTTGAACAGAACTGTCTTTCCCTCAGGTCTGTCCTGGACTTTTCTTGGTGCTTTTTTTTCTTTTTAGTTGAGCCATCCTGCCACCTGTTGGCAGCTCAGCAGCAACTCAGCTCGGGCCGGGACTCGAACCGCTGTTGCTCAGCGCTCAAACTCTTGAGCGAGCTCTTAACCAACTGAGCCACTCGGCCGGCCCTTTCTTGGTGCTTTTGTTCGTTCTGCTTCCCTTGCTTGGGCTGCTACCTCTAAACAGCGCTCCTTACATTCTGAAAGATCCGCGTTAATCTTCCCTCCCATTATTTTCTCTTCTTTGCTGTTACAGCACTTCCTGTCATTATGATTTTTGGACGATTCTACTTTCACTGTGTTATATCATGAAGTCTCTGGAAAGTAGGAGGCATGACAGTTACAGATTTTTCTCTGCTTATAGCATCCTGCGCAGTGTACAAATACAGAAGACCAATTTCGTTTCCTGAAAAATCTAATTCAACAAACATTATATTTGGAATGTTGAACCAAAATATGCAGTCGATATTTTTAAAAGAAAAGATACCAGTGGGTTGGGAGAGAAAGTTTCAAACAGGGATGGCAGAGAACAATCAATACAGCTGGCAAAGGGACTTTGGATATAGCAAACCAAAATGACTGCATCCAAGGAAATTTAGTTTAGGGGAAGGTAAACCCAGTGTCAAAAGGACAGATTAAGATCGGTTAATCTTAACAAAGGCAGCAGCGATTAAAAATAAGCAAACAAACAAACAAACAAAAAAAAAAAACCTCTCTATCTTGGCCTTTAAGAAATATTTCAGATAAGGATCCTATCCTTATTATATCTACTTCCTTATTCACCAATCAGTTTTCAATCATAACCTGGCTTTTGCAAACAGGATTATTGAAACAATTCTCCCTCAAGTCACTAATGACCTTCTAATCGCCAAATCCCAAATCCTACTGTCAGTTTCCTTCATACTGTTTGATTACATTGACAAGGTTAAGAAATGATCTTCCCTTGGCTTTCAGGCTTAGAAAGCCTTGGGCATCACTGCCATCTGACCAATCGCTCCGTTGCCAGCTTGTCCCTCCTTGCCCAGGAACTGTCGCTGTCTTCCAGGGTTCTGTCAGAGGTTCTCATGTAACATATTCACCCTGGCAGACTCCGCCCATTCCCAAGGAGTTAGGTACCCTGTAGATATTACTGACTCCCGAAACTCTTCAGGTCTCCAGACCCACGTTTCCTACTGCCTGCTGGGTCTGAATCTGAACTGTGCAGAGCAAATTCATTTTCGAATCCCAAACACGTCTCATCCTTGTTAGGTAACCTAATCTCTCTGAGTCATTCTGGACTCGGACCTCTCCCCACATGTACCCTAAAAAGCAGACCTCTCCCCCACATCTATCCCTAAAACACAAATCAGATCACAATGAGATAAAATTTCATACTCATCAGATTGGCAAAAAATTAACAGACACCACGAGTGCTGGCGAGGACGTGGAACAGTGGGAACTCTCACTCACTGCTGGTAAAAGTGTAACAACCACTTTGGGGCAAAGGTTGGCAATACTTAATGTTTTTGAAAGTGCACATACTATAAAATATAGCAGGTCTACTTCTGAGTATATACCCTAGGAGGAAAACATCTCACAAATATATGCAAAGATACACATACACACACACAATGTGCATCAGAAAAAAAACTGATTTTCAAGTGTGGTTATAATCATTCAATGGAATACCACACAGAAAATTAATGAACTAGAGGTAAACACATCAACAAAGATAAGAACACATACCATTCATATAAAGTGTTTTTTTGTTTTTGCTTTACTGTTTATAAATTAATTCCAAATATGTAACAGAAGACATAATAGTATACTGAACCCCAAATACACCCATTACCCAGCTTCAGTTACTATTAACTCAATTCCTGACCACCTTGCTTCATCTTTGCCCTATCTACTTTCCTTTCTCCTTCTTACTTTGAAGGAAATCCAGGACATTTTGTGAATATTTGTGAATATCTCACTATCTCTAAAAGATGACTTGAACATAACTGTGTCATTATCACACTTAAAAATTTTCTTAATTTCAAATGTCCACTAAGTGTTCAAATTTCCAATTGTGTCAAAAACATATTTTTGAAACATGCCAAATAATACTCTATGTTGCTTAAGGATAACTACATATATATTATAGTAAATATAGAAAGAAGTGCATGGATTTAATGAACATAGATTTAATATGTAAAGTGCCTGACAAACACATAGCACAGAGTAAACACTTTAAAATGCTAATTATTACGATTATTTCCATTTCTCAGGTGAGAAAACTGAGGCCCAGAAGTTACCATACTTAATTAACCAAAATTCTACAATTGTTCCAAAGATCAGAGGACATTTTACTCTGTAACTTGAATGACCATTAATTAATTACCTTTCCTAATCTAAACTAATGGCTAATGCTGCAACAACTTACCATATTTAGTAATTCGGGGCCCTTGACAGATATAAAATTTAGGCCAGACTCATTTGCAACAGCCTAGTAAGAGGAAACAAAAAAACACAAGTAAGACAAATACACAATAATAACAATAATTTGTGATATGCAGGGAGTTTTTGTGGTTTATACTCTATTTCTCCCACTTTCATAGCTGCTGCTTTCTTATTAGGAGAGGAGACACATGGGAAAAAGAGAAATGGATAAGAAGAAAATCAAAGGAAGCAAACGGTAACCTGAAACACTCTTAAGAATGACTAAGACTAGAAACCAAATGGGAATGACATGAAATATTTATGTAAATGTTGTATACACGTGTAGCCCTAGCTCGGAATTCTAGTGAAGTATCATAATCTCGGTATCAAGAAATGCCCAATGAAAGCAACCATTCATTCATTTATAAAGCAAAATTTAAAAACATCACTTTTAGTCTTTACCAAGGGTCAGTATTAACAGGTTATTTTTAATAAAGATTAAGCGGCATGGTTCAAAGCCAAAGAGAAGAACAAAGGAGAAACACATGGTTAACATGTGTAGCAGAATCTAAGATTTCTAATCTGAATGCAGAGATTAAACCTGCACAATCTCCCAGAACTTCAAAGTGACCAGGGAGGAGTTCTCTCCTCCTCTTAGAACTGCATATCTGAGCTCCAAATTATAGTCAACAGATTTCTCAGTGTCTCCATTTCGCTTTTACAGGTGTATTTCAAATCCATCGTTTCCACAGCAGGACTCCTGAATCTCTTCCTAACTCCCTCCAAACCCACTCCTCGAACTCTTTTCCTCCACATCCCAGTACAGTTTCCAGGCCAAAACCTTGGTGTCTCCCTCGATCCCTTGTCTTGTCATGTCATCCAATCCATCGGCAAACCCTGTTAGCTCTAATGCTAAAATATACGCATATGTGAGTCTGACACTTTCTATTTCTCTATCATTCCACCCCCTCATCCAGACCACTGTCATCTCTTGCCTAGATATGCAGAAACAAAAAAACAAACAAATAAAACCCCCAAACCCCTAACTGGTTTCTTTCACCCTTCCTTTCTACCAATCCATCTCCATACAGCAGTCAGAGCACTCTTCTAAAAATGTAAATCAGAGCATATCATTTCACTAAGTTTCTCATTTATCTTCGAGTACAATTTGAAATATTTACCCTGGCTCACAAACCTGTATTTTGGGACACGACAGTTTCTCTTTGGTCCCGCCACTGGCTCTGTCTCTGGTTCTTGAACTCACCAAGCCCATTCCCACCCATTTCACAGATTTTGCAACTGCTGTTCCCTCTGTCTGGAAGACTCTTCCCTTCATTCCCTGCCTCTTTGTGTGGCCAGCTAGTCCTTCAGGACTCTTAAATATCACCATCCCTTGAACACCATACCTGCAATAGCCACTTCCCAATCAATCTATCACAACAATCTGTTTATTTTCTTCCTAACTTAACTGAACTTGCAATTCTGTTTTTATTTGTTCACTGCCTGCCTTTTCCAAGCAGACAACAAACTCCATGAGCATAGGTACCCTGTTCACTCGTTCATCCCTATCATCATTTTCCTACCTCTTACTCATCGCCATTAAGTACAGGAGAGTCCGGGTACACATCTAATGAAATCTGACTTATCTACATTAGGTTTTCATACCTTTGTCAGATAACTAAGACTAAACCCATTAAAACCTCCAACAGTTCCCGCAATTGTCAGAAATCTTTGGCTTCTAAATTAAATACAATGAACATAATTTGTCATGGATACCATCATGAATCTTATACTCACTGTCAGGCGCTGTCTGCTTCCATACTAGATAGTTCCAGACAACTATTAATAAATGATTTTTACTATTCTCAGTTTCCTTCCCATTAGTCATTATTTTCAGTGTGTTGGCTCCAGTCATCACATCTTTACTTTATGCTATTTATATACTTGATGCTAGTGTGTAGAAAAATTTTATTATTTTATTATTGTGAGTAAACAAAACAACCAAGATCAGACAAAATCTTAATTTTATATCCAATTCTAGGTTGCCAGATTCTGACCAGTAAGTGGTTCCATGACTTTACTACAGTAACGCTTTGCCTTCTGCCATTCAAGGACATTTTCTATTATTTCTAGATTCTTGGGCAAGTAGTCATGCACCTTTTGGAGAATCTGATGAAAGTGGTGAACCCTCTCCCTGGAAAAAATATATACACGTATAACATATCGCCCAGGCTACAGGATTCAGTGAGCTGTGAAGTCCATCATGGAGTCCTAGGTAAGGCTCCTTGCTCCAAATCGTCAGATACCAGAAGTGTCACTAAACAGACAGATGCCACGTTATTGGCAATGTGGAGGGCGGGTGGAGAAAAGAAGAAGAAAAATGTGATCTATGTTTTAACTCTATCCATGGACTTCAAATTATCCAAACTTCCACCTTTATGCTGTGAACAGAATAGGCAAAGGCAGATGTAACTAATTAAACACAAACATTGTTAAGGCACCCACAGAGGGGCCTGCACCCACCCGGTGAGCTCATATATTGGCAGGCAGGGCCCTTTTTCTGGCCATGTTTTTCTAAAACTGTTGTGAAAAAGTATAGACCAATGACTATGTGCTCTCTTCTTCCTTTGTTCTTACAGCAATGCCTTGTAAGAGTACTGGAAGCATTAAGCAAGGGCATTTAGTAATATAGTAAAAAGTAAGTTTTAAAAACTTTACGTATATTATGTATACACACACGTGTATATGTAGATGGACAAATGTCAGTGTGAATATTTGATATTTACCAAGCAGTCACAAAAAATTGGCTGCTGTGGTACTTATTAAACTGCTATTAATTTTAATTTATTTACAAGTATTTCAAATATTTTTAAAAGTTAACAAAGGTTAAGGAAATTATAGCTGGAATATTATAAGACATTAAAAATGACAGCTAATAGAACTTACAGCTAGGGATGACAGTTCTAATAAGCATGACTCCAGAAGAAAAAAAAAATCAGAGACTCAGAAATTTGCCCACATAAATGTACGAACAGATAATTCAAAAGAAAACAGCCAATAAAGATACACTTTTAGAAGCCCATGTAATTTTTAAAATGTAACTTACAAACTGTAAGACACCACCCCTCTTATCATCCTGCAATGACCCTTTGAAGCCCCCAAGGCACTGTACCTCATCCCTAGTTCAGGATGTCTTATATACCCATGTTCCCTGTCTACCTCTGAACCCCTTATGTGTATGGGGGGCTCTGACTCTCACATGTACGCGGGTTCCCATACATATGTATGCATTAAATTTGGTTATTTTCTCTTGCTAAAAAAGAAAAGCCAAAAAACTATAAGATGCCATTTTTACTTATCAGATTATCATATACTAAAAACAATGTTAATGGCTATTGTTAATTTAGGGTGTGGGGAAATGGATACTCATTACCCTTTTCATAGGAATGGAAACTGGTACAAAGTTTTCAGAAGGAACTTTGGTAAAGAACCAAAAACTTAAAAAACATGCATTCCTTCAACTGAGAAATAATTTAGGAATGCTTTCTAATAAAACTATCAGTCAAGGTACAAAAATGTAAGTACAGGATTGTTTAATGCAGTGTTATTTTAATAGGGGATCATTTCCACAAATAATAGAACATTTTTATGGTAGAACACTATGCAGGCATTATAAGTATTGATGTGTTTCTGTATGTACTGACATGGGACTATGTTCAAGAAATATTGCTATGTGAGAAAAGCATGTTTAAAAACCTTGTATTTGTAAAAATACATGTAAAAGTTACACATATCTTGATATGCACAGAAAAACATCTGGAAGGATTGACAACAAAATGAAACAGTGGTTGGGCCGGCCGAGTGGCTCAGTTGATTAAGAGCTCTCTCAAGAGCGCGAGCTCTGAGTAATAGGGCTGCCAGTTCAATTCCCACATGAGCCCGAGCTGAACTGCCAACAGGTGGCAGAAAGGCTCAGCTAAAAAAAAAAAAAAAGAGACAGTGGCTAGTAGTAGGTAGTAGTGAGAGGATTATAAATAATGCCTTTGCCTTCTGTTTAGTTTCTATTGTGAAAAAACAATTTAAAAGCTAGACTATAATAGAAAATATGAAAATTGCTATGTTAAACATACAAAAAAAAATCAATGGAGTTAAAGATTTATTTCTTTTTCAGATTTTCAGTGATGTGCCTTTTTATAATTAAAATAAAAGTGGGGGATAGAAGAACTAAATTTTTCCAAAGAGGACATCAAAATGGCCAACAGATGAAAAGATGCTCAATATCAGTAATTATCACGAAAATGAAAATCCAAACCACAATGAGGTATCACCTCACAACTGTTAGATAAGACTAGCATCAAGACATGAGACAACAGATGCCAGCGAGGATTTGGTAAAAAGGGAACACTTATACATTGTTGGTGAGAATGTAAATTGATCCAACCACTGTGGCAAACAATATAGAGGTTTCTCAAAGAATGAAAAATCGTTCTACCTATGATCCAGCAATCCTACTTCTAGATATATACCCAAAGGAAATGAAAACAGGATTTTGAGGAGATACATGCACTCCCATGTTTATCACAGATTTATTCACAATTCACAATTCACAACAAATGGAAACAACCCAAACGCCCATCAGTGGATGAGTGGATAAAAAAGATGTGGTACATATAGACAATGGAATATTATTCGGCCACAAAAAAGGATGATATCCCTCCATTTATGACAACATGGATGGGCCTTGAGCACATTATGCTAAGTGAGGTCGGCCAGACAAAGAAAGGCAAGTATTATAAGCTATCCCCTGTACACGGAATCTAAAAAAGTTAAACCTGTAAAAAACAGAATAAATTGGTGGTTACCAGGGGATGGGGTGGTAGAGAAAGGAATAAGAAAATAAATAAATAAAAGTGGGAAACTTTCCTGAAGAAAACTGTCAGTCTTGCTAAAATGAACTTCTGGTAGAAATTATACAAAAATATCTCTGTGTACTTACTAGTCAAAGTCAAATTCATATCATCCTACCTGATGGTAAGAAATAAAATGCATGCAGCCAAATTTGCACCATACCTTCGCCAGCAGAGTTTTCCCACAGCCTGGAGGACCAGCCAGGAGGATGCCAGCTGGACTCATCAATCCAAGAGCTTGGAACTGATCTGGGTTACGTACTGGTGCCTGGAAAATACAATCCCAACAGTGACCTGTTACAAATGTCCTCTTATACTGAATGTTCAGATGATCTTCAGATGCATGCTTTTCAGCACTGATCACGGGGCCCAAATATAGGAACAGTGCCTGGCACAAAGTGCTTACCTCTGTTCCAGGCATGAGATATGTGGTGATAAACAAAAACGTCCCTGTTCTTGAGGAATTCATACTTAAATCTAAGTTCTGAAAAGATTTTGCATATAAAGATACAATATTTCAACATTTTAAAATCAAGACTTTTTAAGAAAATTATCTAAATTTCTAGGTTATAAAAATTTTAGGCAATGTCTTCCTTTAAGAAACCAGAGGCAGCAGCACTCTAAATAGTCAAAAGCCAGAGATACCTGTTCACTGTTAACATCAGGGTATGTTCTTTTTCAGTAGTTACATACCTCTAAGTAGATCATACTTCATTAATGAACCATGAAATGATCATTAGTAAGAGTATATGAAAATTAATTCAGTTTCATGGGTATTACAGTTGCTTTGACCCTTAAAAGCATGATCGTGTTCAGAAAGTATTTATTTCTCAAATAATCTGGTCTTGGTTGAAACATAAACTTTTTTTTTTTAAACTCACTTCTATAGAATTCAAGAACCACCAAAAGAATAAGTCTAAAACAAGTCTCAGAAGAATGCAAAACCATTGTTGGGGGCTTAATAATAATACAACAGAACATACCAAAGAAAACATGCAGTGAAGTTAATTTAGACACAAAACCTAGTACATGCACAGTCATTTACCCATCATCACACACGCCAACGGCATTTAGCAGCAGATACACCTACCAATATTGCCATGGTGAGTTCCTCTCTAATATCTTCCAGGGCACCAATATCTGCCCATGTCACATTAGGGACAGTGACAAAGCCTTCTCTTTTGGCAGAGGGTTGGACTGAGGATAGAGCAACAATGAAATCATTCAATTCAATGCACAGCTCTTGCAGCTGCTCCTCTGAGAGGGGATCTTGGTTCCTTAGCAACTTCAGCAGACTTTGCAATTCATCCTTAAAGAAAGCAAGTGAGGGAAAAAAAAAGACAAACCACAGAGTTTGTTGAAAAGTTACCTTTGGACTTTTAAAAATTATTACTGCAATATTTCTGTAAGCTATAGCAAACTTGTATGTATTTTTTTTCAGGAACGTCTATAAATTTAAATACTTTTCTCCACCAACATAACAGGTTTATTTTATTCTAAACGGATCATTTGATTTGGTCACGGTACACTGATTATGCTCCAATATTGAAGAATGATTTTTGTAAACAATACTAGGGCTTGGTACTGCAAACATAAGCAGCTGGCAAAGGTTCATTTCAACAACCATGTATTTCCTTTTTTCATTATAAATATTCAAGGAGCAGCTGAATTTTGATGAAATTAAAACAAAGTTACTCTGGTGGCAGTATAATTTCATAATATAGATCCCTGATAGCTTATCAACTCAATAGAAAGCAGGCAATTTTCCTAGCACTATTGTATCTGGAACTTCAAAGGCAGATTTCTTGCTTAGGAAGAATATGAAAAAACAGGTGTAAAAAGTAGCTCTAATTGAATTTATAAAATCCTAATTCATATGCACTATTATAAAAGGAACATGTTTATTATTATTTTTAACAGATATGATTATGGTTCCAAATGAGTAAGGAAGAAATGAATGACTTGAGAACAAAAGACCTGGATCTAAATCCCAGATCTGGAAAGTAGAAGCTGTGTGGCCTCGGGCAAGTTATAATCTCTTAAGCTTAGCTTCTTTGATTACAAAATGAGGATGGTGATGACATTTACTTATTATATGAATCAAATTATATAACATATACAGTTCCCTGTGCAAGCTTTCAAATGCTATGTAAATGTCATTTTGAGTTTTCATGACTCACAAATCTCAGAATTTGAACCCTGATCTTAAATTGATAAATGTCCCTCTCATATTCCCGGGACTGTCCTCCACAGCCATCTGCAGCTGCGACAATGATCTGGTTGTGTTAGCAGACTATCCTAGTCCACCTCCCCAAAAGGTAACCAGGAAATACAAGTACATGCCCAATGCTCTAACAGGAACTGGCAAACATTCTCCATAAAGGGCTAGAGAACAAACACTGTAAGTAAGCTTTGTGGGTCACATGTCTCTGTTGTAAGGACTCCTGAGTGAATTTCGCTGTGAAAGGCGAAAGCAGAAATAGACAATATGTAAATAAAGGAGCACAGCTGTGTTAAAATATATAACTTTCGTTTACAAAAACAGGTGGTAGGTGGATGGGTCATAGCATGCCAACCCCAGCTCTATAATTTCATAATCATCACTTTACCATGAAATTTATTCAGGATAACCTGAAAAAAAATAAAACAACTTGTGCTTTTGAAATTGCAGATTTTCTGGGTATATCTGACAATTATTCTAAAGATAAAATGCCAATAAAACCGAAAATCATAAGCCTCAGCTATCTAGACATTTGCATGTAAAACAAACAAACTAAGAACACTTGAAGGACAGTTTACGATACCTGTAAAGAAAGCCCCTGTGTTTTAGAAGTGGGCTCAGCTCCAACCCTTTCTTTCTGGCCTCCTTCCGACGGCAGGCCTTCAGTCTCAGGATGTTTCCCCCGCTGCTCCTGGAGCTTCATTAAGACCCTATGCACCGCACACATGGCCGCCTCTCGGCAGAGTGCCATCAGGTCAGCACCTACAAAGCCTGGCGTTAGATGTGCCAAGTGCCGAAAATGAAACGTTTCAGGAAGTCTCAGTTTTCTGCACAAAGTCTGAAGTATTCTGTAGAAAAGACAGGGGAAAAAAATTCAGATTCCTAACCTACCAGTAAAAACAAGTCATCAAATATATTTATTAGAAGTCCTTGTTCTTTGCCAATGGTATTAAAATGGGGACAGTAGAAGATCAAATAGATCATTCATTCAACATATGCTGAATCACTATTACATATCTCACCCTATTCCGTAAGGATTAAGGTAAATATCTGCTTTGTAAGAACTATATTAAATGCTGCGAGGACTAAAATCATAGATTTAAAAAAAAATGTTCTGCCTTTGAGGAATTTATAGTATTACAGACTATATAAGATAAGTGATTTATGAGGATAAAAGGTAGCTTCTACTTTTAGAGTAGATTAAATGGACATGTAACCAGAAATTAAAGCCTCTAAACTCAAATAAACCATTAATTTTTTTTTCATTAAAGGTTATGTTGATATACATTAATATCCAACTTTATATTAGAACAGCAACTTCTTCAAAAAACAGTATAGTTATACAGGAGGAGTATTTAGGGCTAAAGTGTCATGATGTCTTCAATTACTTTTCAAATGGCTTGGCAAAAAAAAGCATATACACATAAACATATGTACGTTTTTACATAGAGTCAAAGCAAACATGGCAAAATATTAACAAGTGGTAAATTTAGCTGAAGGGCATAAAGATAATGATTGTACTATTCTTTCAACTTTTCTGTAGGCTTGAATTTTTAAAATATATAATCATCTACAAAAGCCCTTTAAGGACTTTGTTAATGATGGAATACTGGATAGATGGAGAAAGGACTTTATTCAGCAGGGATTACGGGCTCCCCTGTGCCTATGCCTCTACCATTAAGTTTGGCACTTCATCAAAAAAAGGTCTAAATAAAGGGCACAAGCCTTATTTCTCTTACTATATTGTAAGCATCCTGAAAGCAAGGACTTATAATTCTTTACATTCCTCCTATTAGCTATCAGTGGTATATACACATACTATATGCTTAATAAATGTTTGCTGAACAAAATGCAAACAACTTCGATATTAAATATTATTTTGCTGCAGGTATAAACACATTATTAAACAAACTTGAATGTTGTGTAACTGTGTAAAGAATGTATACGTAGGACTGCAATTAGCATACATACAGATGACTATGAATCCAATAGCTAAAGAAGTAATCGCCAACCAGCCAAAAGCTGAAGCCACAGTAAGTACTGGGACGAAGGGAAGGATGACACAGGTTCCTTCCTAACCTCTTCTCCTACCCACAGTGCCTTCGCATCACTTGTAGTTCCTGCATTTGTGAAGGCTCCTGGTCTTCATGTCTTCCCTTCTTCACTGTCCCCCTGGCTATTACCTTTCACTACATACGACTTTTCCTAAAAGCTGCTGCTGGTGATTGTGTATGCCGATTTTAGTGTCATTAACTTAAGTGAAAAACCATTATAAATATAGTCTATCAGAACATTTCTTTACTAGATTTCTATTCTACTGCCTGAAAAGAGCCACCTGAGATATTTTTGGTGATTGACAAACTGATGGACATTTCTTTGCTCTGTTGACATTCAACCCCAATTACTAGAAAAGGCTGGACCTACAGCAAATACAGATTTCGACTCTCAGGCTACCATTGAATTATTTTTGGTCTTAGGCAGGTTAGTGCCACAGGTTCAAGTACAGTACTCAGATTTAACCTACATGTGGGCCAGTGAGCTCTATTCCATATTCTAGACACTGTCCCTAAGCTGATCAGCCAACTAAAAAATGCAAGTCATTGTTAATAAGGCCAGATAAATGAGTATGGATATGCAAGTCCATTATCACCATTGAAAAAAAAGCCTGAAAGTACTGATGAATAATCTTCTTAAGCATTAATTTAATGTGGGCTTTTTTCCTTTCCAAATCAATTTCACTGGCACATATACCACCACCACCCCACCCCACCCCCCAAAAAAAAGAAAGAAAGAGGAAGAAAAGGCTATATGGTGTTTCTTACCCCTCATTTTCAAAGCCTTCAGTTTAGATAACACAGTGGTATACGAACTTCATTCTATAAGAGCATACCTTTCCCTGGATGCTTCATCTGGGATACCGAGACATATTTCCCGGTCGAACCTTCCCGCACGTCTCAATGCAGGGTCTAAGGAGTCTGGCCGGTTAGTAGCTCCAATGACTAGGACCCGAGCTGTAGCAGCCACGTTATTCAGATCTAGTAAGAACCAGACACGGGATAAGTGGCCAACAAGGCACTTGACTCTGAGGACAATAACGCTTACACGAGTGATTTAAGTGGTTAGAGAGGAAGTATTCCACGTTTTCACAGCAGTATGTATAGAAAACTAACATTTACTAAATGTCTAATATGTGAAAGACGTAAGGAATACAAAGCGTTCTCAAGCAGCTTGCAATCTACTGAGAAACACATAAGACAAATTTGGGAAGCATAATAATAGGTATAAACAAAGCCCCACAGTAATATAAGGGAGAGTTCATGGAGGAAGTAACATGCCGGCCTTGAAGGATAGGATACTATGATAATAAACATCTAGAGGTTGCTGAAATTCTACTGAGTATCTTTGTTTGGAGATGGGTACAGGATGCAGTAAGTAAAGGAAACTGGTAAGGAGCTGTCAGAGAACCAGGAGGAAGACAGACAGAGAACAGTGTCACTCAAGACAAGTGTGTGAACAATGACAAGGACAAGGGGATTAAAAGTACCAAATGCTCTCAACAACAACCATTGCTGACACTTACTGAGTGCTGGATGTGTGCCAGGACTGCTGTAGGTTACGGTCATTACCTCGTTAACCCTCATGACAACTCTAAGGGGCAAGTTTTTACAGGACGAAACTAAAGGACAGAGGTTGAGAGGGGTGAGGGCTCAAAGCAAGC